AATGTCCCCAATGTCCTCTCACTGTCCCCAGTGTCCCCAATGTCCCCAAATGTCCCCTGTGTCCCCAGATTTCCACCGCTGCCAGCGCGCCATGGCCGCCAGGGGCGCCGATGCCACCCCGTGCCAGTGGTATTTCCGTGTCTACAAATCGCTGTGTCCCACCTCCTGGGTGAGTGTCCCCAAATGGCACCAATGGCACCAAGTGTCACCAAATATCCTCAAATGTCCCCAAATGGTACCAAATGTCCCCAAAGTGTCACCAAATGGTGCCAAAGTGTCCCCAAAGTGTCACCAAATGGTGCCAAAGTGTCCCCAATGTCCCCAAAAGGCACCAGACTGTCATCAAAGTATCCCCAAATGTCCCCAAATGGCACCAAAGTGTCACCAAATGGCACCGAATGGCACCAAATGGCACTAAAGTGTCACCAAATGTCACAAGATGGCACCAAAGTGTCCCCAAATGGGACCAAATGGCGCCAAAGTGTCACCAAATATCCCCAAAGTGTCCCCAAATATCCCCAAATGACACCAAAGTGTCCCCAAATGGTACCAAAGTGTCCCCAAATGTCACCAAATGGCACCAAAGTGTCACCAAAGTGTCACCAAATTGCACCCAATGGCACAAATGTGTCACCAAATGGCACCAAATGGCACCAAAGTGTCCCCAAATGGTACCAAATGGTACTAAAGTGTCCCCAAAGGTCCCCCAAATGTCCCCAAATGGCACCAAAGTGTCACCAAATGGCACCAAATGGCACCAAATGTCCGGAAATGGCACCAAATGGCACCAAAGTGTCACCAAATATCCCCAAAGTGTCCCCAATGTCCCCCAAATGCCACTAAACTGTCATCAAAGTATCCCCAAATGGCACCAAAGTGTCACCAAATGGCACTAAAGTGTCCCCAAGTGTCACCAAATGGCACAAATGTGTCACGAAATGGCACCAGAGTGTCCCCAAATATCCCCAAATGGCACCAAAGTGTCCCCAAATGGCACCAAATGGCACCAAAGTGTCACCAAGTGGCACCAAATGGCACCAAATGGCACCAAAGTGTCACCAAATGGCACTAAAGTGTCCCCAAGTGTCACCAAATGGCACTAAAGTGTCCCCAAATGGCACCAAATGGCACAAAATTGTCCCCAAATGGCACTAAAGTGTCACCAGGTGGCACCAAAGTGTCACCAAATGGTACTAAAGTGTCCTCAAATGTCCCCAAATGGCACAAATGTGTCACCAAATGTCCCCAAATGGCACCGAATGGCAACAAAGTGTCACCAAATGGTACCAAACTGTCCCCAAATGGCACCAAAGTGGCACCAAATGGCACAATGATGTCCCCAAGGGTTGTCAAGGGTCTCTAAGCTGTCCCTAAGTGTCCCCAAATATCCCTCAATGTCCCCCAGTGCCCCGCTGTCCCCAAAGTCCCCCATCCCCTGATGTCCCCAATATCCCCAATTGTCCCCACTGTCCCCAAATGTCCCCAATGTCCCCAATGTCCCCAATGTCCCCAATGTCCCCAATGCCCCCATCCCCCCACTGTCCCCTCTGTCCCCAATGTCCCCAAATGTCCCCAATGTCCCCTCCAGGTGACCACGTGGGACGAGGCCCGTGACGAGGGGACCTTCCCTGGGAAGATCTGAGCGCGCCCCACCCCCACCCCGGGGACCCCCTTGGGGACACCCCCGGTGACACCGGGACGGGGACAATGGGGAGGGGACACCGGTGTCACCCACGGGGGGGAGGGGATGCGGTGGCACCGCCAATAAAGGGTTCCAAACTGGGCCTGGGCCTCGTTTTTGGGGGGATTTGGGGGGG